GACCTGAAAATTAACAGAAAAATAGTCCCATTTTCTTTATATGGAACATAAATATTAGGAACAGAAACTGTAAAAGGTCTCTAAGATGATGTATAATTTTTAGAAGAATACTATATTTAATATTAGTAAGTTCAGCTAGAAACACTGAACGGTTACTTGAAACACAAAATCGACGATTTTCAAAAAGAAGCACACGTATTCGGAACATTGATGTTAATAAATTTCTGAAAGTTTTACATGGGATGATGTCTCTGGTTTCAGTCTAGCTTTCTTGTATGATCAGTGTGATCAGATGTGTGTGAAAGTCAGAAGATGACTATACATAAGTGGTATTATTAATTTCAGGTGCATGTTTTATATCCTCCAGAACCTTCCATAAGCCTCTACTTACATCCTCTAGAACTTTCCATAAGGATCTACTTAGATTCTCTAGAATTTTCCATAAGGCTGTACTTACATCCTCTACAACTTTTTATAAGGTTCTATTTATAGGATCTCAGATTGGTCACTGGTAATTTTAAAGACTCGCTATGCTAAAATCCGGGGTTCGATTCCCTACGTTGGACAGAGTACAGATAACCAATTGCACTAAGAAAACAACAATAATTACTACTATTACTTCAAGGCAAATATATTTATATTTGTTTCTAAATTACGTCATGCACCTGTCAGAGTTTGTCTGGAAATACGTTTAGTATGTAAAACTCGAGCCAAACAAACAATCAAACCTATTCAGAATAACAATGCATTTTGTAAAAGTCAAATAAAAATATTAAAATATATACATCAACACAACTTTTCATCACATAGAGTGATATTGAAATGGAACGTATAGAACTTAGTATGTATACCAGACAATGATATTGGTATCTTCTTTAACGTGACGAGTACTTTTGTAATTTTAATGACGAGGCTGAGACAGTAAGTATTTTAGATAGTTTGTACTTTTCGATTGGATGTAGAAAAGCATCTACTTATTTTTTCTTTTCAGCATTTATGACAGTTCGCAATGTTCATTCATATACATTTTTAAATCATTATTTCTCTGCATTCTATCAAGAATATAAAGCTCTATCAGAAAGAAATTTTACCGTTTGAGATATTCTTGATTTATTAGATAAATGGTAAGATCTGGAAACGCCATCATTTAAAATTTCCTACATACACCATCAGCCCATGACACATAATTCTTTAAGCTTTTGGTCTGCGATATTCTTAATATCTTACGTACCCTTCTAAGTAAATGAACGTAGCTTTATTCATACAATTTTTCAAAGATTTGATGCATGTGTCCTTACATATTTACAGGTTCTAGACGAATGTAGGAACTTCTTACATATGGTTAGTTAAGCCCAGATCTCGTTCATCCTTTCCAGCCGGCCTACTTACCAGATAATTTATTAAGAGAATCTCAGTAGGTTATCTAAATCGTGGATCATATGTGAAGATAGGTAAGATGGAAACTCTGGTTTCCTTTTTCTACCCTTCACTGATAAACATGTCTTGAAAAAAAAAACTTAAGACTTTACTGTGCAATGTTTATCCACAAGTATAACTTCGAGTCATGCTTAAACTCATCATCAGAATAGGGAACTATTTTGTGTTTAAATACACAATTAGGTAAACCAAACTGCTCGAACGTCATCTACATGTATAAATGCTATGAGTGTTATAGAGTATATATATATAGTACCTACTAAAGAAGACTGGCATATCGAATAATGGAGCATAGTTTACCAAGGTATGTGGAAGTATCAAACATTCTGAAAGACGTGCTAGTTTGTAGTGACAATTCTGTAACTATTAAGCAATTTCAAATTATCAGAACTGCAGAAAATGATTATTTATTATGAATTAAAGAGACACTTATAAATCTAAATCCGGAACAGTCTAGTACTAATAATGTGCAATTTAAAGTGTATCAGTCACTGAGAACACAACTATTAAGCAATCTTTGAATGAAAATATTAAAAGTTGACCATAATGTTTAAAGTTAATTTTGATTACTGGCCTGTAAGGCGTTGTTTAAAGAAACAATGTGCCTGTTGTTTTGATTAAAGTGGGTTTGAGTCTTTTTCATTTTTTACACTTTAATATTCGGGAGCTAGTGGATTTTATGGAAAGATATATTAGTAATGGCTAGACTCATGCCACGCATGCAGGAAAACACAGTTTGACTTTGTTTCATCACTGTTGGCCAGAAGCAATACAGTTGGATCAAGCTGAAACGTGAATAAGGTGAAATTATATGTGGAAAGTAAAATTCACAAGATAAATAAAAAATTGGGAATTTAAAATCCTGCAAATAGAAATCATAAAAAAGTAAGGAAACAAGGCTGGGGATACTGTAGACATTATTTACTCAAACTACAAACCCTATTTTGGCTCCATGCTGTTGCCTAGAATTACATTTGGTGGAGTCTAAATAGGGAATTGTGGTTTGAATAAATAATGTCTACAGTATCTCCAATCTTGTTTCCTTACTTTTTTACGATCCATATTTGCAAATTTTTAAATTCACAATCATTTTTATTTCTCTTGTTTGCTGGATTTTTGTATGCTCAAATATGACAAAGGATTATGTGATATGGTTCATGATGATATTCTGTACCTATTGACTATTTGATCACATTAATTCGATATGTAAAATGTCAAGCTGCAGCTGGAGATTGTCATGGAGATTTGTTTGAGTATATAGCGAGCATTTATAGTTGCTGTGTAACTAAATTCTATGTATATAATTCATAGCAATGGGCAACTATTTGCCTAGACTAAGATACAACCCCACTAAGCGCATATACAATTTTACCAGTAGAAAAGCAGCCTTATCAAATAAAACATATACGTCTAGAACATCACTTTAAATAAACCTTCGTGTCTTTCAAGTAATTATTTTACGAATGTGTGAAATAAAATTGAATATTATGTGTATTGATTTTTTGTTACTTCACTTCAAACATAATATATGGGTTGGTCACCTAAAGACACCGATTGTATTGTGTACAAAGCATTGAGTATGTACATGTTACAGTCATCTAATGTTCATCTGTTATTGGCTGGTAATTCCTGTTTGACCCTGTATCTAAGTTTTCTAAATGAGCACTAGAAGTTTGTAAGAAAGCTAACTTCAAGGGGTAATGATAACATCGTTTACACTTGAATTATGATGTTTTTTAGCTTATGTA